CCCGCCGGTGGATCCGATGCCTGCAGAATTATGAGGCATTGCTGAGTGACATCTCATCGGGTCTAATTTTGGAATTCCCCGGTTCTTCTTGTCCACCCCTCTAGTGCAGTATGATTTCATACTGACCGGGAGGAAGAGGGGACAGTACTGCTGTTGCTCAGGGTGCTGCCACTTAGTGGTAGATCCTGTCTTCCGAGCCCGTTTTGACAGCCAGTGCTGACGTCACCATCAGATCGCCTGCTGGGGATCACCTAGCAATTGTGCAATAATGCCTGCTATGCGATGCTATGGTCGGTCCTAAATTCACCATTGAACTGAAAAAAGTGATGCAGTAATGCATCCATCCCTATTGCTCCATATCTCTCACATCCTCTTGCCGTTCCTTTTTGAATCTTCGCTCTGGATACTTCTTGCATCATGCGACTCACAAAAAGCTAGTATACGAAGGACACTCCCTGACAACGTCTTGGCTCTTGGCTGTCGGCGCCGAGAGCTTGCCACTTTTCCCCTCTCAACTGACAGGCACCCACCGAACAAGCTTGGCCGCCGATCAGACCAGCTGAGTCTTTCTCATCGCTACGAATAGGCATCAACACCAACGAGAGTAGTGAGTATCATTCAGTACATTCATTATAAAGACCATGGAAACTGGACATGCAACGAAGTCACGAAAAATAAGGGCCATGGTCATTGATTCACCGCGTGCGTACATGGAACAAAAATGGTATCCGTACACCGGGAGGACTGGTGGTGTCCCGCAGCAAAGCAACTACTGGCGGACACATCACCCGGAAACACAACCATGAAACAAAAAAGAAGTAAAAAAGAATAAGAGATAGAAATAGACAAGAAGACACCGACGGGAGAAACGGCAACAGCTATAGAGTGATGGGGAAATTCAAGGGCGAATGACGAGGCGGGGAGATCACAAGAGTCGCTAGTAATGCAGAAAAGCCTAATCTAACCACAACTGAAAGACAGCCCGAACAGCATAAACATGCTCGGCGAGCCTATACCACAGAAAGATAAAACTGGAAGAGTGAGCATAGGTCACATCAAGAAGAGCCGTGGCAGAAAAGAGACATCATCACGTTTTCGAAGACATGTCAAAAATCGGTGCGTTTCCGTGAGAATGAAAATATGAGGGAATATAGAAAAAGAATAGAGAAGAAAAATGGTCATCATGGAGGGGAGGTCAGAGATTTTAGAGTCGGTAGTATGGAAGGGATTTTAAGAAGATAGACGAAGAGAAGAGAAGAGAAGAGAAGAGAAAAGAGACGGAAATCGAGAAGTGAAGCCTCCAGTGGGCCAATCACTGCGAGGCATAGTAGACACCGCCCTGGGACTGGGCGTAATAGTAAGTTGCGCCTGGCGGTGTTAACATCCCACCCATACCAACCACTCCACCAGGCGCGGGAGCATTGTGTATTCCGTATGACGAGTTGGGATACATCTGGTTGGGATCATAGAAGTAGACCGTCCCGCCAGCTTCATGGGCAACCATTCCTGGCTGCGACGCTTGTTCACCCGACGAAGGCGCCGCCGGCATCGTGTAGGGAGCCCCATGTTGTCCCTGCGGGAAGGCCGGCGCGGAGGCTCCTGGAGCACTTGCCGCGTTGAAAGTGGAATAGTCTGTACCCGAACTCGGGTAATAGACGGCAGCCGCCGGGTATGATGCAGGATAGAACACCTGAGGCTGCTGAAATCCGTATGGTTGGAACGGCTGCGCATGGATCGCGCGGTCGGGAATGTGGGACACAGGCGTTGCAGACGTGTGAGCAGCAGGTGCGTGGGCAGAGGCCTCGGGACCATAGACGGGTCCGTTGGCAGGCATCGGCACCTGGTGATGGAAAGGCTGCTCCTGTTGGGGCTGGGGCGTGTGGAAGGGAAAGGCTGCCGGCATCTCGATGTCGGCAACTGAAACGGCCTTCTGAGGACGAGGCTGATGCATCGGAATGGGAGCCGGGCGGCTCTCACGGTACGCGGGGGGCTGCGGTAAAGAAGACATAGGGGGCGGAATTGCCGACGAGGCGACTACTGGACCAGCAGGAACCTGCGGGATTCCCAAAGGCGGTCGGGGAGGAGGTAGGCGGACGACTGGCTTTCCATTTTCAGTGGTAATGATGGTAGGCCGTGAGAAAACCGAGCCGGCCGGCGAGTGCCATCCCTCCTGTGAGGGCGGCTTGCCCAAGGATGATCGTCGGCTGATACTGACACTAGGGGCGTACGTCGAAGTTGCATAGATGCTGGGGCGTCGCCCTGTCATAAAACCGCCACGACGTCCGCGAAAAGCCTGCTGATTCGGGCGCAGAGCCCGGGGGATGAAGATGAAGGACCGCTCTATGGCGGGAAAAATATATCGAGGAGGTTGGCCCGGAAGCGAGATCCGGACAGGTTTATCGCGACGTAGCGGAGGGCGATGCTGAGGGAGCCGAGTGTGTTGCTTTTTTGTGACTGCTGGATAGGATATAGGCTGTTCCATACCTGGTAAGAGGACCACCACCGGCACGTTCCCGATCAACGTAGTGCTCGAAAAAGACCGATTAGGCGGGGATGACCTGGGAGCCGTGGGAACAGGTCGCTGGGGGTAGTTCGAGAACCCTGTTGACACGGTTGGGGCCTTGGCTGTCGCTGGACGGTCTCCAGCGACGGTATCGTGGAGATCATGCGTCCACTGCCCTTCGCTTGCATCCGACTTGACGTTGTGTCTACAGCAGGTTAGCTGGTGTTATGGGCTGACACGTAGAAGCGACCGGCTCTACGAGATCGGGGCCTGGATCTTGACGCACCTGCGCACATTACCGTCCACAATAAGTCCATATGGCCTGGACTTCGATTTCGTGGAAGCCTTGTGGCCATTCGTCACAGTGTCGATAGAACGCTTATCGTGAAGGAAGAAGCTCCCTCGGGTGGGCACCAAAGCAGGGTTCTCATCCTTCTCCTTGGTTATGGTCCTCTCCTGCTCCCGGCGTTTCTTCTCTGTAATGGTCTCCCTTCTCGGTTCCGATGGTGGTGCCGATGGGGTCCTTCCCGTTAGAGGGCCAATCTCCCCTTTCAAGTCATCAAAATGGATCTCCGCCTCCCGGGTGGTGTCTTCCGATAGTTTCATGCCATTCATCATAGCCTCTGTATCTGACATCGTGCTAGCGAGAAGCCGTTTGCTCGGAGATGTCGAATGACGGCGCCCCGGTTTCTGGTTTACTTCTGGCCTTCGGCCATTGAGTCGTGAAGCATGAGTGTGCGAAGATGTTTGCAGCTCGTCGTCGCTTTCATCACTACCTTCTCCATCGGCGTCTTCATCATCTTGGTGGCTGATAACAGAGCCTTCGCTGAGAGAGTCATCCTCCAGATCACCGTCGAGTGAGCCCTCATCTTCGCCTTCCTCGTCTCTTCTCCTTCGGCGGCTAGCACCGATGTTGTGCCGTCGTGGGGCCATCTAGACGAAGTCAAATGAATCGAAAGAGGGTAGCTATAATGATCGAGGATGATTGCGGTGTAGGCAAACGAGACGAATTATAAGAAATGATCGAAGTGCACTGACGGCTTCCAGGAGCAGGTGTTTGCTGGTGGTGGTGGTGATGAGGATGGTGGTTGGTCGGCTGGTCGGTTGGTTGTGGCTAATGGTGGTCGGCGGCGGGTGGGAGGACAGAGGTCAAGGCAAACAGAACGGGGACCAGGAAGAAGAAAGTAGTGACATGCATGTGAGAAGAAGGGGAGGGGGGGAGGGGGAAGAACGGGGAGAAGAAAGTAAGAAGTTGGTGGGGGGGGGAGGAGGAGGAAGGAAGAAGAAGAAGCAGAAGAAGAAGATGCTGATGAAGAACAAGAAGAGGAAGGAAAAAGAAAAACGAAGTAATCGAGGAGCAAGAAAAAGATAGAATACTGCACCTCTAAAAAGAGGGCGAAGGAAAGATTGAGGGAAAAGGAAAAGCAACAACAGCACCTCTTAAGTTAGTTGGAGTGGTTAGTTCAGTTCAATTCAGTTGGGGGTGGGAGGAGTTGGTGGTTTTGAGCATTGCGAGAGACGGAGCCCTGAGAGAGCCATGACATCTCTTTCGATGTCAACCAGCTCAATCCGGTTTAGTGCCCTCCACGACCACCTCAGCGATTCTAGAACGAGTACGGAGTACTTGAGATTAGTGGTATTTAGTTGAAGGTAATGAAATTTACTAACTTATTGGAAGTACCTGGTAGAGTGATACTAGGTAGTCTCCGTACACTGTAGGTAATCAATCCGAGCTCAGTAAAAGAACTGACCAAAACCAGGAACGAACCACAGCGACTTGATCGACGCGCGGTCGCAACTCCCGAGTTCCCCATAGTCCATCCAGACTTCCAACCAGTGGAACTGTTTGGTCTGTTTCAAGCCCACTCCCACTTGAATGTCCAGGAATGTCCATACCCTCCAGCTCGAGCACATATAGAGGACCCCTTTCTATGAGGGTCCTGGCAGCAGCTTCGGAAACATACGTATGTAAATTGAATTTGGAGTGGGCTATACATCCATACGCATCTCAATTCCAACATCCCACATCCACATGCACACACTGTACCTTGTACACATCCTCAAATTGAGAAAAGAATCATCATCATCATCATCATCATCATCATCATCATCGTTGGTCAGTGGTGGATGTGGATAGTTAACTAATACTGCTGACTAACGCCTTGGCAGGTGTAACTAACTAACTACTATGTGTATATAACTAACAGGTACCCAAGCTTCTCCTGCGTTAATCTCAACTCGTTTACGTCCCAATTAGTCAGAATTCAATTGACCAACTAGTCTGATAATTAGATGCGAGAGATTGATGGTCTTCGACCGACCAAATCTGATGGATTTGTGATATAAATGACAATGATTGCAATGATCAGCTGATTCTTTGATACGAAGCTAATCAATCATTTTCATTCCGAAATCATCGTAAGGGTATAACTCCCGTCGTCCTGCAAACTGCCTTGGATCCACACCCTTCTTCCCCTTCCATTCTGCTACAAGTCTATATACATACACGGTACTTATGCGTACCAGCGGAAACGGTGGAGTATTAGTCCAATGCATGGAGTCGAGGAAATACCTCCTTCCCCGTGCAATTCAGACCAAGCGACAAGCGACTCTCGTACCATGCAAGGCTTGACCAGCTCACAATCTCGCGCGTTATCGATGACAATCAACGGCCAGAGTACACAGTTGAGGGTCTCCCTCCAGTATTGTTTTTCATTTTTAGGCGAACGCCCGGCTTTCAAAGCCTGTCTGTCGTCTACTTGTTTGCTCTCATCGCTTTACTGATCACCTTTAATCGAAGGTGGTCTTCTTGCCCTGGGATTCAACAATGGCACCACTAAGCTTCTGCACTGTGTCCTGGTCGTATCTTGTATATTCGGGCTTCGCTTGCTTGGCTCTAGGAGGTCGTGCTTGGCGAGGCTGCTCTTCGGTGGATTCGAATTCTCCGGCCTCGGCATCGCCGGTCTCTGAGTTGTTATTTCTCTTGCCCTCGCCGTCCTTTCCGAACCGTTTCTTGTAGCGAGTAGTGGCGTCTTCGGCGAACTCCATACGCAGCCGCCGTCCCAGAAGGAAGTTCACCCAAATCTTTCTCTGCCGGGGCTTCCTGGGCTTTTTGCGCTCTTCTGGTTCGGAGTCGTCTTCCTCCTCATCATCCTCTTTCACTAGCACATAGCCCTTCACCGCTGCTTCAGCTGCGGCAAGATCCTCAAACACCACCCAAGCGTAACCCTTGCATTTGCCGGAGTCCTGGAAGGTCGCCACATGTACGTTAGCCACAGTACCGCATTGAGCGAAATGTTCCTCAATGGATTCTTTGGTGGCGTCAAAGCCGAGGTTGCCGACAAATATGCGTTTGGAGGGGGCATGACCGGGTGCTGCAGAGCCCGTTTGACCGTCTTCCTTGGGCTTATCTGGCCTTCCAGCAAAGCTCTTTGCATCCTTGATAAGCACGCGACGACCCGTTAGGAGCTGCTCACTGAGGCCAATTGCCTCTTCGGCCGCCTTCTGAGTGGAGAAGTCGACATAAGCGAAGCCCTTGTTCTGGGATTTTCCGAACTTTTCCGCGCCCTTGGGCATATGTATGCGTGTAATGGTCGTGTCCGCGAAGGAGCAGTTGCTCGTCAAGAAGGTGCGCAGATCATCCTTCGTGACAGAAAAGGCAAGATTTCCAATCCAGACACCGTGATCTGAACGCTTTTGGGGGGCAGTAGTAGGTTTTTCGACAGCGGCCACCGCTTCAGTCTCTGTGGTAGACTCGGAGGGCTTTGCAGTGGCTGCTTTCTTCGCTTTACGCAAAGCTTTCTTCGATGGCGGCTCAGGGGCAGAGACGTCGATCTCGATCTCTTCAACGTCTGTGAGCTTGCGCTTCTTTTGGGTTCCTTCCCCAATGCTAGCCATGACTATGATTGCACAAATTTGGGACCTGACAGAACTATGCCGTATAAGTGAATTTGAAGGTCGCAATCAAGAATTATGAAGAGTTCTCACAACAAAGAATGAGAAGTATGCGTGAATAGCTCTTGTCGCAGTCGGAGATAATTTTTTTTCTCCATTCCCTATCGCTTTTCTTTGCGGCGGGCAGAAACACTCCGCCTTATCAACTCTGGGTCTGGGCTTGGCGGAATCCTTCCAGCCCGATTCGCCGGTCCTGTAAAGGGAGTGACCCCAGTGTCAAACACTCACATAAGTTGAATCTCACTCCTCCCTTAATCAGTTTCCCTAGCCTCCTAATTCTAGAACGCCTCAACCCTTCCAACAACAGGAAAGGGGAAAAGAATTAAATCCACTCTTCATTTTCAATTGTGCTGCGTGTTCGTCATGTCCCAAACACTTGACGAGACAAGATCGGTGGCTGAAAGTCTGCCGGATGCCTCCGTCGGCGCCCCTACTCGGCAGTCCTACAAGTCTTTCAAGTGAGCATAGTTCTATAGCAGCATGGTCCTTAGGCCACTAGCTAATCATGATCGCCAATCAGAAAGAAGTTTGCGAAGCTCAAAATGAAGTTCGAAATGCAGATGGGGGAAAGCGAGGCGCTCATTCGCGAAGGATTGCGCATCGAGGATCTTTCTAAGAGAATCCAGGAACAGAATGAGTATGCATTCATCGCCCTCGCCTGGTTGATTTCCATCGATACTGACAGTGCTACAGTCAACTTCTAGAGGTTCTGCTTGAATTCAACGACAGCCTCCACGTGTCTCCCAGTCTACGATACGACTTGAGTGCGCCAGGAGATGAGACCTTCCTGCCACCTCCCGATCGAGATATTCCAGCCTCCTACAATGATCCCGCCATCGCGGGATCCATGCTAAAGGATGCCAAAGGTCGTATGGCTGCTGGTCGGATGAATGCTCATGCCTATCGTGAACTGGAGGACGACGTTCGGCGAAGCAAAGCGTTTGCACCGCGCCTACAGTACACGTCCCTAACACAGGTGCCCCATTCTGCACCTTTGTCCGACAATCAAGCTGAGGATCATTATCCCGCCCACGAGCTTGGATTCCTGACTCCTGAGCATGAGACCGAGTACTACCTGGCGTTGGATGCCAAACTGGGCGATGAGAGTGCCATCGAGCAGCTGGTGTCTATGCCGAGTAAATCAACCCTCGTCGAACGTACGCGGGATGCCAATTTACGTATACCGATATCCGTGCATAACTGGCTTCGCCGAAATCAGCCCCAGATTTTCCTTCAAGACAACGAGAACGCTTCCGAGAAGTCTGGCTCTCGGCCCTCGCGTGCGTCTAAGAGAGCCACGGCCCAGGCTCGAAAGGACGACGACATGTATGATGACGATGGCTCTTATATGGAGACTGCATCGACCACTGGAGGTGCCAAGGGAAAACGTAAGCGGGATGAAGACAGTGGATATCGGCCTAAGGGTGGCAGCAGTCGTCCAAGCCGGAAGAAGAAGGACAAGGACGATGATGGTTCTACTCCTGCGAAGCGGACATCGAAGCGGTCCTCGGGCATAAATGCTTGAGCCCACAGTATCTCATCTAGCGTCATTTTTCTAGGGGGGGAGGAATGGCCGGCAGTATCGGACTGGGACTCAGGACTCGGGTGATACTTCTATGTATAGTAGTTATAGAGGATCTTATGTTGGTCGGTTTTGTACTCTAATCAAGCCTGCACTTCGATAAAACGTTATGCAAAACTGACATCTCCTCTGGCGACTAAGCTTCTATCTCACGTAGTCAACCAATGTTTGTAGTCCTTTTGTGTTTACAAAAAAGCAAAGAGCCAGAATAGAAATATTTCATTAATGGAAAGGGTTGTGGTAGGCTATACTTGGAGTGAATGCTAAAGTAGCAAGATTCACGTGAATCTCCACCAGAAGTTTGTCTGGTTTGTTCCCGGTCCGGAAAGTCTTCGCAGAATGACCGACGAGAGAGCAACGAATGTAACCACCTCCCAGCATTTCTCGTCCGACCCAATTGGAGAAAATTTACCTTACCATCTACATCATTGATTATTTGCTACTCGATAACCTTTCAAGCATGGCTATTACAATTCTCCCCCCGGTGGTGGAAGATGTTGACCTGCCCAGTTTCGACTCCGACTCAGATGCCATGTCCGTCGATTCGGATGGCGGCGTAGAATTGGCGGCAGGCAGTTCATCCAGACCCAACAAGCGTCAACGGTTGGTTGAAGGCACCAATATCGTCGCCGGAGTTTTGACACCGGGTGAGGTTGTCACTGATGATCCGCAATGGATGAGGTTCGTAATCCTGCAACAACAGTCATCTCTTCTTTTTTGACCACCATGGCTAATGCATCTTGTTCCACCCCGCGGCGCAGAGGTCATGGTACCTATACAAACCCGCTATCAACTTCAATCATCGCCACTGTTGCCGGTACTGTGCAAAAGACCAACAAGCTGCTTTCCGTCCAGCCCCTCCGTGCACGATACACTCCAGAGATTGG